AGGAGAGAGGAACGAGGGGATGAGAGAAGGAGGCAGAGAAAGAGAGAAGGGGAGCAGAAGGAGGAGGGAGGGTGAGGGAGGGAGGACGCCCCCCCCTTCCACTCCCCAACCGTGTCAGATGCGAGGGAAGGGTTACATGGCTAGAGAAGAGGAAGTGGGCAGACGGACTTGGAAGCCAGAAAAAGAGAAATAGGACAACTTTCGAACTTTCCAAGAGGGAGTCGAGGCCAGCCAATTCAGGTTAGGATTTTTTTTTTTGCTTTAATTTATATGCCGCCCTTCTCCGGAGACTCAGGGAGGCTTACAATGCGCTAAGCAATAGCCTTCATTCTTTTGTATATTTATACAAAGTCAGCTTATTGCTCCCACAATCTGGGTCCTCAATTTACCTACCTTGGAAAGGATGGAAGGCTGAGTCAACCTTGAGCCTGGCAAGCTTCGAACCTGCAGTAATTGCAGGCAGCTGGTCTTAATAACAGGGTGCTTTAGACCACTGTACTACCAAGGCTCTTGGTAGAGGATTTGAACTGAGACCTGGTCAAATACAGGTAATCCTCGACTTACGACCACAATTGAGCCCAACATTTCCATTGCTAAGCGAAACACTTGAATTTTGTCCTATTTTACATCCTTTCTGGCCTCAGTCGTTAAGTGAATCGCTGCAGTTGTTAGGTTAGTGACATGGTTGTTAAGCGAATCCGGCTTCCCCATTGACATGGCTCATCAGAAGGTCGTAATAGGGGATCATGTGACCCTGGGACACTGCAACCGTCATAAATACGAGTCAGTTGAGAAGCGTCTGGATTTTGATCACGTGACCACGGAGAGGCTGCAATGGCCGTAAGTGTGAAAAACGGTCCTGGGTCACTTTTTTTCAGTGCCGTTGCAACTTTGAGCGGTCACTAAACAAACTGCTATAAGTCGAGGACTATCTGTATTAGAAAATGGCCAGCATGCTAATTTGACAGATTCCCACAGGAGTTCTGGCAATTATCTTCTCATTGCTCTTAGCCAAATGCCACCCATCTTTGCAAGAAGGGTGAAAGCCGTAGCCATTTGGGGTTACAAAAGGATTGGGGGTGGGTGGGAGGGTGGGTGAAGGATAGGGGACATGGGGCCCTGAATGCCTCTGGATGTCCTGCCGGGCATTTGCGGAAGGACAGCGTCAGGTATTAACAACCAGATTCCCATGTGACGATTTTAAACTAGCTACTTCATTGCGCATGCCTATTTTACAGGAATCTTCCCAGACTGACAATTTCGTGCCAGACTAAATAAGGTCTAATGGAATTCAAAGGGGTCAGACTTCGCCTTTTATGCCCACCTAGAGATTCCAGACAGGTTCCCTACTTGACTCCTCCACTTGGCTGGTCCAGTACAGGAAGTCTTCGTCTTATAACAAACGGTTCATTTAGTGAAGTTACAGTGGCGTTGAAAAAAGGGACACGGCTATTTTTCACACTTATGACTATTGCAACATGCCTAGGTCCTGCGGTCAAAATTCAGCTCATATTTATGACGGTTACAATATCCCAGGGTCCTATAATCCCCTTTTGCGACCTTCTGACAAGCAAAGTCAATGGGGAAAGCCAGGTTCGCTTAACAACCGTGTTCCTAACCTAACAACGGCAGCGATTCACTGAACAACTGTGGCAAGAAAGGTCGTAAAGTGGGGGGAAATTCACTTAACCACTGTCTCGCTTAGCAAAAGAAATTTTGGGTTGGATTGTGGTCACAAGTCAAGGACTACGGTATTCTTAACCATTGGAGGTTTTGCATTCTCAGAGAAAGGCTGCATCTGGAGAGGTAGGTCCATGTGTGGGTAAGTGTGCACAGCGGAAGGGAGGGCAAAAGCCCAATCCCCTGTTCCTCCTCCTGTTGCATCTTTGATGCCTTCCTGTCGGATATCCTCAGTTTTGGGGGGAATCTGGATTGTGCCCCAAGATCTGCAAAGCAGCATGTAGGATGTAGGTTTATGCCGCAAAGCCCTGGTTTGTCCTGGCCCAGCTCCAGGATTTGCAAAGCTGACACCAACAAACTTGCTGGAATTTAATCTGAAGGTGGACGGATTTTTTTTGTCCTGCGCTGTTGTGATATGCCGGCGGCCTGCGGAGCTAGCAGCAGAATTGGACAATGAGGAGGCTGGGGAGGACCATGGGCCAGTCCTGGAGCCTGGGGAAGGCTCGGACGAGGGCTCTGCGTCGGAGGCAGAGAAAGGGCCATCTGGGAGGTATGCGCTGCCTCCGGAGCCTCCAGAGTCGGACCTCAGCGAGGCAGAGGAACAGGGGGAGCCTGTTCCCAGTGCGCTCATGCACAGAGCTGCCAGAAGGCAAGAACAGCTAAAACAAAAGGGACGACTCGGGAGTAAGGCTTGGAGATGATTGGCCCTTCCCATAAGGCTTAAAAGAGGAGCAAAGGCACGTGGGCCTTTGCAGGAAGCAACACTGTTAATTCTGTGCAGTTTAAAGCCTGAAGCTCTGTTTGATTCTGGACTCCGTGTGGCTTTGCCAATTAGGTTTTTGGGCAGCGTGTCAAGGGAGATAAAGGTGGGTGATTATCGTCCTTATCCTGAAGGACTCTTTACAACTATTTGGGACTCATCTGTGAATGAACAGAATTCCCAGCTGTTGCAATAAAAGGGATTTTTGGGACTACTCGTGTGTTTTACTGACTCAAAAAGCCTAGGTCAGAATATGTGCGCGAGGAACAACAAGCAAACGAGAGCCGATGGTAGGAAAGGCTGAAAGATCAGCAGGGACAAAGGCGAGACAGCCTCTAATAGCTTTGATTCTTCTGCTTCTAATCTCCCCGCCGGCTTGTCAATCCTTATTATTTTCCTTCAGCGGCTGGAGGCCTCCGCAGTGGGACTGAGTGACAGGCGGGTCTGCCCAGCTATGGGGCCTCCTCGCGCAGCGCCCGATGTTATCGGGAGCGGACAAAGGCTGGGGAAATGTCAGTGTGTTATCAAGACCCCCCAACTGCCACTGGGATATGCCGGGACAGGAGGGCCCCTGTCATTCCCTTGGTGTTTTGTTTGGGAGAGGGAGAAAATGACTTGCATGAGTGCTTGCACACACAGACACACAAGCACAGAAGGTGACAATAGGAGAAGCGTCCTGGTTTCTGAGTGAAGGGAGCAGATGACTTGTCCAAGGGACCAGAAGATCTCCAGGCAAACCAAAAATTAACTAAACTTTGCGAGGATCGTGTAACACCTCCTTTTCTTTCCATAGTCCCCCAGATTTGGGTTGGGCTGGGCTGCCTTTTCTGCCCCTATCTACCCCCAAATCTTCCTCCACCAGCTTCTGCTGGGTCTTAAGATATATCAGCCTTGCAAACCAAAGACATTTCCCTTGTCTCCCAGTACACAATAGGTAGAATTGCGGAGCTGGGAGGCACCACAAGTCACAGTGTGCACTGCAGCTGCCAAAAAAATCAACACAGTCCTAGGCTGCATTAACAAAGGGATGGAATCAAGATCATGTGAAATGTTAATACTACTTTATAATGTCTTGGTAAGGCAACACTTGGAATACTGCATCCAGTTTTGGTTGCCATGATGTAAAAAATACGTTGAGACTCTAGAAAGAATTCAGAGATGAGCAACAAAGAGGATTAGGGGGCTGGAGGATAAAACATACAAAGAACGGTTGCAGAAATAGAGTAGAGTAGAGTAGAGTAGAGTAGAGTAGAGTAGAGTAGAGTAGAATAGAATAGAATAGAATAGAATAGAATAGAATAGAATAGAATAGAATAGAATAGAATAGAATAGAATAAAATAGGATAGAATAGAATAGAATTTTTTATTGGCCACACAAGGAATTTGTCTTGGTGCATACGCTCTCAGTGTACATAAAAGAAAAGATATGTTCATCAAGAATCATAAGGTACAACACTTAAGGAATTGGGTATGTTAACAAAGAGAAGGACCAGGGGGGACATGATAGCAGTCTTCCAATATCTCAGGGGTTGCCCCAAAGAAGAGGGAGTCAAGCTATTCTCCAAAGCCCCTGAAGGCAGGACAAGAAGCAACGGATGGAAACCAATCAAGAAGAGAAGCAACCTAGAACTAAGGAGAAATTTCCTGACAGTGAATACAATTAATCAGTGGAACAACTTGCCTTCAGAAGTTGTGGGTGCTCCATTACTGGAGATTTTTAAGGTTTTTAAGAAGAGGTTGGACAACCATTTGTCTGAAATGGTATAGGGTCTCCTGCTTAAGGTGGGGGTTGGACTAGAAGACCTCCAGTGTCCCATCCAACTCTATTCTGCTACTCTGAGAAGAGGCTGAGCTGTAAAATGGGGTTAAACCTGTCACTGATTTAGAATCATTGCGTTGTCACAAACATTTACAGTATGTCCATGAATTCTCTCGTTCCTTATCTAATGCCAATTGAGCTTTGGCCATTATTTGTTTGTTTGTTTGTTAATTGTATCCCGCCTTTATTATGCTTATAAATGACTCAAAATGGTGAACCAATACAACGCATGTTCCTCCCGCCCCCAGAGAAATAACCCTGTGAGAGAGGAAATGGCTCCAGGTGAACAGCCAGCTTTCAGGCCTAAGGTGGGACTAGAACTCCCTGTCTCCTAGTGATCGGCCCAAAATCACCCAGCTGGTTAAGGCAGAACTAATATTCATAGTCACTTGGGGATTGGCCCAAAGTTACCTAGCTGGCTTTCTTGGCTAAGGTGGGACTAGAATTCCCTGTCTCCTGGTGATTGACCCAAAGTCTCCCAGCCAGTTTTCTTGGTTAAGGTGGACTAGAACTCACAGACTCCTATTTTCTAACCTTAACCACTACACCAAACTAAAGAAAGAACCTGCAAAGAATAAGTGTTATTCCATTGTTATATAAGGGCTGGCCTGGCCTCTTTCTTCCCTTTCTATGATTTAACACTTCAACCAAATCTGTGTTTGGCTCTGCTCACGGGTATCTCTGCCTCTCTCGCAGGATAACAACATTGTGGACGTTCGGAAGTGTTCTGTTGGTACTTACCTGTCAATGATGACTGGATCGGAAGGGGTCTCGTTGCGGTTCCCACAACTTTTCTTGTCACAGCAGCGGCTGTTGGGTGGAAGAAAGAGAGGGACGGTCAGGGCAAAGGAGGAACTCAAGATGGCGATGACCCTCCCTGGACATCGGAAAAAAAGACCCGCCATCAACTCTCTGAATGAAAAGCACGGCAAAGAAGGAGGCATCCTATTAGGTCAGCATCTATGCGTAGTCCTCGACTTACAACGGTTCGTGTTGAAGTTACAACAGCCCTGAAAAAAAGGGACTCCTGACCGTTCTTTCCACCCTTTGGACCAGTGCAGCATCTGGGCTGTAGGCCACCCAGCAAAAGCCTGATCTGCTTCGGGTGTTGCCGGAATGAAGCTGTCCTGATGCAGAAAGGCTAAGCAAGGAGCTGGTTGTTGCAGAGAGCAGCTTTGTTCCATGCTTTGTGTAGAGAGAACCAGAATTGGGCTGGCAGTTCTGAAGTGTTAATCAGAACCCATGGTCTTGCTTCGGCTTCTACTTGGACATGTACTCTGTTTTTAAAATTAGCCTTCCTTCCTTCCTTCCTTCCTCCCTCCCTCTCTTTTCTTCCTCCCTTCCTCCCTTCTTTCCTTCCATCCTATCTCTCCCCTCCCTCCCTCCCTCCCTTCCATACCAACCCCAATCCTTCCTCTATCCCCTTAACTATTTAAGTTTGCCAGATAGAATTGAAAGACACTATAAAAGTACTACTACTACTACTATGTTCGTATTTATGATTCAGAAATGCCGGATGCCCGCACGCGTCACCTTTTCCTGACTTCCCTCCTGCACAGAGTCAGCAGAGAAATCAGCGCTCTAAGAGAGTCCCAAGGGGGGCTGGGTCACTTTGCAACTTGGTTCTTCTTGCCACAAAAAACCCACAAAACTCTGAAACTCGGTTTGCCTCTCAAGGACAGAGAACAAAGCTTGCAAACCATTGGGCTTCTCATCCATTGGGGGGGCGGGAAGGGGGGGCAGTCAAGAAAGGCACCCCCACCCACTGTGGGGTGAAGGCTGTGAAGTGGTTTGGGTTGAGGTTTTTGGGGTTTTTTTAAGTGCTTTGCTGCATATATGGGAGCTGGAAGAAGCCCATCTGCAACTCTTTAAAGCAGAGGCCTTCAAACTTGGCAGCTTTAAGACTTGTGGACTTCAACTCCCAGAATTCTCCAGCCAACATGGGCAATTCTGGGAGTTGAAGTCCACAAGTCTTAAAGCTGCCAAGTTTGAAGGCCTCTGCTTTAAAGCAACCGCATCTTTTTCACAGAGGGCAGCTGTTCCATCCAGGGAAAAGAAGCAGCTGCTTTAAAGAGACACCAACAGGGACTCACACTCCAAAGCAGTTGCCAAGTTTGGACACCTGGAAAGCCAAGCCACACTGTTTTGCAAGAAACTATATAATGGAATAATAGAGTAACAGAGTTGGGAGGGACCTTGGAGGTCTTCTAGTCCAGCCCCCTGCTCAAGCAGGAATCCCTATTACCAAACATAGTGAATCCAGAGATGAAAAATCACTCATGCAGCCGGTCGAACATGGATTTCCGGATTTAACCTCCCCAAAGGAGAGAGACGGAGAAACTGACCGGATCTTGTCTCAGCGTTAAGCTTCCTTGCCTTTGTACGCCACACTTTTCGAGATACCCAACCCAATTACTGTTTTCTCAATCATTAGAGCAAGTACCATCCCTCACATTAAATATAATTAATCGTTGATCTGATAAACAGCCGGGAGCTCTAAATTCACCCCAATTCCCCTCGGGGGACCGGCAATTCCATCCGTCGTCGTCGTTCCATAAACAACACAACCAAAGGCGTGCGTGGAAGGCACAATATTTTGCCCTCCCGAGTCGCTCCTACGACTCCCGAGCCACCCAACCTATTCCCTTAGCCCCCGGGATCATTAGCAAGGTTCCTGAACATCAATTAGCCCTCCAACTTGGCAACCAGGCAGCCGTGCTAATTTGCAAAACACCAAGAGCAGAACAGCCGTAAACAAAGCAACAACGCCGGTGTTAATAGGTCGCAGGGGAGTTTGGCTGTCGAGGGAGACTCCTTCGCACTCCTCCGGTGGGCCCACCTCCCAGCACTTGGCGAGGGAGGCGGTCCTGGGTGCGAATGTAGCCAGGCATTCTACATACAGAGGCAACATATACACGCATAGCCTGCCCAGCCTGAGTCCTGGGGTTCCTCTTAAGCCTTCGTTTTGCAACATGGTGGCACCCATGTACGTGTGTGTGTGTACCCAGTCTTTTGAGTTCAAAAGCACATTACAGTGCAAGGATTTGGATTCTGCAAAGACTTGGTGTGAGGTTGTTGTTGTTTTTTTTCCTACCTCCTTAACCTAGAAGTAACTAGTAACTAGCAAATAGATGGGAAAGAAATGGAGGTAATGACAGATTTTATTTTCCTGGGCTCCAAGATCACAGCACATGGGGACTGCAGCCAAAAAGTTAAAAGACGCTTGCTCCTGGGGAGGAAAGCTATGGCAAATCTAGACAGCATTCTAAAAAAGCAGAGACATCACCCTGCCAACAAAAGTGCATATAGTCAAGGCTATGGTGTTCCCCGTTGCAATGGATGGCTGTGAAAGTTGGACCATAAGGAAGGCTGAGTGCCAAAGAATCGAGGCCTCTGAACTCTGGTGCTGGAGGAGACTCCTGCGAGTCCCTTGGACTGCAAAGCGATCCAACCGGTCAGTCCTAGAGGAGATCAACCCTGACTGCTCTTGAGAAGGCCAGATCCTGAAGATGAAACTCAAATACTTTGGCCACCTAATGAGAAGGAAGGACTCCCTGGAGAAGAGCCTAAGGCTGGGAACGATGGAGGGCAAAAGAAGAAGGGGACTGCAGAGAACGAGGTGGCTGGACGGAGTCACGGAAGCAGTCAGAGTGAGCTTAAATAGACTCCAGAGGATGGAAGAGGACAGGAAGGCCTGGAGGAACATTGTCCATGGGGTCGCGATAGGTCAGACACGACTTCGCAACTAACAACAACAACCTAGGATCAGGAAGCGGAAGAAAGAGAGACTCTAGAAAGAGCGCAGAGAAGAGCAACAAAGAGGATTAGGGGACTGGAAGTTAAAATCTACAAAGAACGGTTGCAGGAACTGGGTTTAATTCTAGTTTAATGAAAAGAAGGACCAGGGGTGACATGATAGCAGCCTTCCAGTATTTGAGGGGCTGCCCCAAAGAAAAGACGGTCATCTATTCTCCAAAGCACCTGAAGGCAGGACAAGAAGCAATGGATGGAATCTAATCATCAGTTTAGTTTAGGGGGAATTTGGGTTGGGCCAGCCTAGAGAAAAAAAGGACTAGGGCATCACATGATACCAGAGTTTAAATATTTGAGAGGCTATCACAAAGAGGAGGGGGGTCAACTTATTTTCCAAAGCCCCTGAAGGCAGGACAAGAAGCAATGGATGGAAACTAATCAAGGAGAGAAGCAACCTAGAACTAAGGAGAAACTTCCTGAAAGTGAGGACAATTAACCAGTGGAACAGCTTGCCACCAGAAGTTTTGGGTCCTTCATCACCAGAGGCTTTTAAGAAGAGACTGGACAGTCATTTGTCTGAAATGGTCTAGGATCTCCTGCTTGAGCAGGGGGCTGGACTAGAAGACCTCCAAGGTCCCTTCCAGCTATATTCTGATTCTGATTCTAATCAAAGAGAAAAACAACCTAGAACTAAGGAGGAATTTCCTGATAGGGAGAACAATTAAACAGTGGAACAGCTTGCCACCAGAAGTTGTGGGTGCTCCATCACTGGAGGTTTTCAGGAGGAAATTGGACAACCATTTGTCTGGAATGGCATAGGGTTTCCTGCTTGAGCAGGGAGCTGGACTAAGAGACCTCCAAGAGAACACCTAGGACAGGTGTGCCCAACTTTGGCAACTTTAAGATGTGTGGACTTTAACTCCCAGAATTCCCCATCTATGGACACCTGAACTGCCTTGTTAATAAGAGCGCATTACAATTGTGTAGCCAAAAATCATCAGGACAAGCTCAGCAGCTCTAACTTTATTAAAAGGTGCAAGCATTTGTCAGCTGCAGCTCCCTTGGCCGGAAATGCTTTCTCCCAGAAGCTGAAGGTGAAAGCTTTTCAATAAAAATTTCTTGGCCGGAAAAAGATGCTATCGGAAACGCCTCCCGATTTTGCTTGCACGCTGAAATTGATACAACGCTTTTCTCACAACGCCGGGAATGAGAAGCACCCGGACGGAATGGAAACCCAGCAACCTGCAGGTCGCTTTTCCTGCAATGTTGATATTTTGGGAGACTTGAGGGTCTTCCAGGGGGGGTCTGCCTCCAAGTCTTACAGCCCACCGGATCTGTGCATCCCCTTCTCATGGTGTAAAGTGAACCACACTTCTCAGATCTGTATTTTTTTTAGCCTTCCTTCCTTCCCTCCCTCTCCCTTCCTCCCACTTGTTCATCCCTCCCTCTTCTTCCTCCCACCATCCCTCTCCTTTCTCCTGTCTTTCTCTCTCCCTCATTTCCCTCTCCTTCCTTCTTTCTTCTTCCTCCGTCCCTCCCTCCCTCCCTTCTTTTCTCTCTCTCTCCCCTCCCTCCCTCCTTTCCTCTCCTTCCTCTCTGCCTCTCCTGCTCTTCCATTCCTCCATCCCTCTTCTTCCTCCCATTCTCCCACTCCTTCCCTCCCTTCTTCTCCTTCCTTTCCTCTCCCAATCTTCTTCCCTCCCTCTCCTTTGTCCATCTCATTCCTCCTCCCACTCTCTCCCATTTTCATTCCTCCCTCCGTCTTCTTCCTTCTACCCTCCCTTCCTTCCCTCCCTTCTTCTCCCTCCTTTCCTCTCCCTCCGTTTTTCCCTCCCTCTCCTTCATCCCTCTAACCTTCCCTCTCTCCCTGCCTCCTTTGGAAGAAGTAGCTGCACTCTGAAAAATGGATGCTTTTGCCACCCCCACCCCCAGAATGATTCTATATTTCCAAAGCCAGGACTGGAGAGATCATGCTCTGTGAAAAAACCCTTGCAATTGTGGCTAAGAGGAACAAACTTTCTACAAACCATGGCTACAAACCTGGGTTGAAAAATGCTCCTCCTTGATCTTAATTTAAACCACTTCCCCAAGGCCAAATGAACCAGGTTCTTCTGAACAAGACCAGCAGAACTATCGATTTAAACTAGACCCAAAGGATTAATTCTGGACATTCTTGTTATTAATCCAGAATGTCGGACAGATTTTGCTGCAACTTGAACCCAACAGTGGGCAGCCAAACCCCTTCTCTGAAATCTAAAAAATGGCTGTGACTGCTTTGAATTCTTCAGTTTCTCCTTTTTCCACCCTTCAATCACAGTCATGGTTGCCATTTTGACTTTTTTGACTCCCGTCCCAGCAGACATCCCCGTTTCCAAGCCATTGAGTCCAACCTCCAGATCGTCCCGTTGTTGCTTTGGCTGCTTTGCAAAACGGTCTCACCTTCACACCCCAAAATGCCCTACTCGAAGCTTCCCCGAGGGCCTCCTTAATCCCACCCATGACCAGCCTGTGTCATTGCCACTCCCAAGCACGATTTACCTGCACATGATCTCGTGAGTTAACAACACGCGGCACATCTCGGGGTTCTTATCCTGACCTTCGTAGATGATGGCCTGCAATGAAAGAGGAGACGCAACATTAGGAAGGGCCCGGATATTTGCAGATCTGCTGGTCCCCTGCAAAAGACCATAAATAGTCATTCTGGGAGGGCTTCAGTTATCAGTACCAATAAGGGCTTGCTTGCTTGCTTACATCCTTCCTTCTTTCCTTCCTTTTCCTTCCTTCCTTCCTTCCTCCTTCATTTTCCTTCCTTCCTTCTTTCCTTCTCTTTCTTCCTTCCTTCCTTCCTTCCTTCCTTCTTCCTTCATTTTCCTATCTTCCTTCTTTCCTTCCTTCCATCCAGAATTCTAGGTCTTCCTTCCTTCCTTCCTTCCTTCCTTCCTTCCTTCCTTCCTTCCTTCCTTCCTTCCCTCCCTTCCATCCTTCCATCCAGAATTCTAGGTCCTTCCTTCCTTCCTTCCTTCCTTCCTTCCTTCCTTCCTTCCTTTTCCTTCCTTCCTTCTTTCCTTCCTTCCATCCAGAATTCTAGGTCTTCCTTCCTTCCTTCCTTCCTTCCTTCCTTCCTTCCTTCCTTCCTTCCTTCTTTCCTTCCTTCCATCCAGAATTCTAGGTCTTCCTTCCTTCCTTCCTTCCTTCCTTCCTTCCTTCCTTCCTTCCTTCCTTCCTTCCCTCCCTCCTCATTCCCTTCCTTCCCTCCCTCCTTCCTTCCTCCTTCTCTCCTTTTCCCTTCCTTCCTTCTTTCCTCCCCTCCCTCCCTCTCTCCTCCCCTCCCTCTGTTCCTTGCTAGGCACCCTTGACTGTCTCAATTGGGTCATCAGGAGAGGTGAAGCATTTCTGTCCTGGACAGCTGCATCTCCAGCAGCTTCTGAGCACATGATGGCTCCCTTCCCTGGAGACATCTCCATGCGAGGGTGCCTTTAAAGACCGTGAGCTACAGTCCTTGCATGGAGAGGTCTACAAGGAGGGAGCCATCACCTTGTGGGGCCCTTCTCCAAAGCAGCAACCCCTCCTCTCATCATCCTGCTTGTCTTCCTGCATCTGGTCAACTTCCAGGAACTGGCTTGCAGCAGAGAGAAACCTGAGGGGAACATTGTAAGGTGCATCAGTCCTAACTAAACATAACCTCAGTCTGGCACTCAGCTCAAAAAATGAACTGTGGGCTGCCCTCGATTTAACACAATGCAAATTCGAGACCGTTAATGGCAATTCGGTCCACTGGCTGCAATTTACCCGGTGCATTGAAGAGGGCTTCCCAATGTAGTTGTGTTTGCACAACTGCCAAAGCCCGGTTGACTTTAACCATGGGGGGTTTTTTTTTGGAGAGGGGAGAGGTATATAATATAAACAGGGTGCCTTGGGAAAATGCTGGCTTTGAAGTTGATTGAGGCTTCGGTGTATCGAGGGGATGTGGCAAACAAGCTGGTTCAGGAACAAAATTCAATGCGGTTGGATTACTGTGCTTCCGTCTACATGGGGCTGCCCTTGAAGACAACTTGGAAAATTCAGCCGGTCCAGCATACTGTAGCCAATACTCCCCCTGGACAATCCTGGTTCTGTCACATGATATTGTGGCCGCAGGGGTGGTTAATGGCTGTTGCTGAGCTTGTGAGCGCAATTCATAGAGCATAGAACATAGAACATAGCCTGGTGGCGCAGCAGACTAAACTGCTGCTGTTAAAGTAGCACTTAGCTGCCAGCTGCCTGCAATTACTGCGAGTTCAAATCTCACCAGGCTCAAGGTTGACTCAGCCTTCCATCCTTCCGAGGTAGGTAAAATGAGGACCCGGATTGTGGGGGCAATAAGCTGACTTTGTATAAAAAAAAGAACACCGTTTAGGGGGGCCGAAAGCCCTACTAAGCAGGTATATACAAAAGTATGAAGGCTGTTGCTTAATGCATTGTAAGCCGCGCTGAGTCTCCGGAAAAGGGCGGCATATAAATCGAACCAATAAATAGATAAATAAATAATAAATAGAATAACAGAGTTGGAAGGGACCTTGGAGGTCTTCTAGTTCAACCCCCTGCTCGAGCAGGAGACCCTATCCCATTTCAGATAAATGATTCTCCAGTCTCTTTTTGAAAGCATCCAATGATGGAGCACCACAACTTCTCAAGAAAAAAATATTCCATCGGTAGATTGTTCTCACTGTCAGAAAATCCCTCCTTATTTCTAGGTTGAATCTCTCCTTGTTCAGTTTCCACCCATTGCTTCTTCTCCTGCCTTCAGGTGCTTTGGAGAATAGCTTGACTCCCTCTTCTTTGTGGCAGCCCCTCAAATACTGGAAGACTGCTATCATGTCTCCCCTGGTGCTTCTCTTCATTAAACTAGACATTCCCAATTCCTGCAACCGTTCTACGTATGATTTATCCTCCAGCCCCCTAATCCTCTTTGTTGCTCTTCTCTGCACTCTTTCTAGAGTCTCCGCATCTTTTTTACATCGTGGCGACCAGAACTGGATGCAGTATTCCAGTTGTCAACTTACAACCATTTGTTTAGTGACCGTTCAAAGTTACAACGGCACTGAAAAAATGACTTATGATCGGTTTTCACACTTACAACCATTTTGCAGCATCCCCAGGGTCATGTGATCAAAATTCAGACGCTTGGCAACTGATTCATATTTATGACAGTCGCAGCACTCTGGGATCACATCATTCCCTTTTGCGACCTTCTGACACGCAAAGTCAAAGGGGAAGCCCGATTCACTTAACAACCAAAGTGCTTCACTTAACAACTCTGGCAGGAAAGATTGGAAGATGGGGGAAAATTCACTTAACGACTGTCTCATTTTAGCAAGAGAAATTTGGAGCTCCATCGCGGTCGTAACCCGAGGACTACGTGTATTTGCCAGTTAATTCGAATAATGCCAGGGAATGCCTGCGTTGGAAAACAGCTGGATTTCTCCGCTGCAGACCCATCTGTAATTTTTTTAACAGAGCATCATTCTCTTCCTTCTTTCCATTTAACGTCAAGCATAAAGTCAGATCTCTGGGAGGAAATCCAGGGTTCAAAAAACAAAACAAAAAAAACAGCAGTTGGATACTCCTTGGTGCAAAGTAGGTGTTAAACACCCGCTGTCCCATCTGGGCCAGATGCTCTTAACACCCAGCCAGGAATCTGCCTCTCCACTTAATGGTGTTGATTAATAAGATGGAGACTTAATGAAGCATCTTCAATTATTTGCTAGAATTAATTCCCTGGGACTCCTTTTCCAGAGTGAGCTCGTTCAGAGCATACAAATTCTAAGAGTGACTTGTTTTCTCATCAAACGGAGACCGGATTGCATTTTTCCTCCACTATCCCATACGTGCTTTTTCAAGAGGCAACTGGACTCTGAGCTCAGAGCTGAAGAAGCTTCTTGGATGAGAAATGAAACGTCTTCAAAGAAAAACCAGAAAGTCCAGTTGCCTCTTGAAAAAGCATCTTTGGGACAATCATGACCTGGATGACTGAGAATCTCTGTAGACATTTTCCTCCACTAGCAAATTTTAGGAAAAGGCCTAATTTTGGGGCGGGGAACTGATCAAAAGTTCTGTCTTTTCATAACATGGGTTAATGGGGACATTTAATTTTATTTGATCCTGGGTGGATCAGAGGTCAGGGTTACGAAGATTTGTGGTAAATAAGAAACCATTGTACTTCTATGAGTAAAATACAATACTGGTAATCCTTAACGTATGACCACAATTGAGGCCAAAATGTATGCTGCTAAGTGAGAAATTTGTTATGTGAGTTTTGCTCCATTTTGCAAACTTTTCTGGCCACCTTTGTTAAGTCTGCAGAGCCTGGATAGCTCTGCAGACTAAGCACTGTAATTTAACACCAGCTGTCTGCAATTAAAGTAAGTTCGAATCTTGCCAGGCTCAAGGTTGACTCAGCCTTCCATCCTTTCTAAGGTAGGTAAATTGAGGACCCAGATTGTGGGGGCAATAAGCTGACTTTGTATAAATATACAAAAGGATGAAGGCTATTGCTTAACGCACTGTAAGCCGCCCTGAGTCTCCGGAGAAGGGCGGCATATAAATCAAATTAAAAAAAAAACAAGTGAATCACTGCAGCTGTTAAACTAGTAAAACGGTTGTTAAGTGAATCTGCCTTCCCCATTGACTTGGCTTGTCAGAAGGAAGGTCGTAAAACAGGGGCAAAACTCACTTAACAACTTCCTTGCTTAGCAACGGAAATGTTGGGGCTCAACTGTGCTCATAAGTCGAGGGCTATCTGTGTATGGTCGAGACGGTGGGAAGGCCATGTCCCCTTGTGAAAAGAAGCTGTCCACTGCAGCTTACTCCAAACTACAATTCCCAGTGTCCTTTGGGGGACTTTGCGATGAGCGTTGTGGTGTGTGTTTGTTCAGAACTCCAGATCTATCAACTCTGAGCCTTTTAAGCCCAAGCCAAGATGTGTTAAGGAGGCTTCCCAGAAGTGAAATGCTCCCGGTTTGGACCGGATCGCCCGATCCAGTAGCGATGGAGGCGGGTGGTTCAGAGAACCGGTAGCAAAAATCCCTGCCCCCCCCCACATTGCCCAGCTGAGCCGCACAATCATCAGAGGCTTTTTTTTTTTAACTTTTAAAAGCATTTTTTCTACAACCTCTTTGGCCGGAAAAATGCTTTTAAAAGTAAAAAAAAAGCCTCTGATGATTGTGCGGCTCAGCTGGGATCGTCAGAGGCTTTTAAAAGCATTTTTTCTACAACCTCTTAAAAAATGCTTTTAAAAGGCTCTGCCGATCCAAACTGAGTTGCCTGATCAGCAGAGGCTTTTTTTCTTTTAAATGCCTCTGATGATCCAAGCTGAGTTGCCTGATCAGCAGAGGCTTTTAAAAGAAAAAAAGCCTCTGCCGATCAGGCAACTCAGCTGGGATCATCAGAAACCTTTTGAAAGCATTATTTTACAACTTCTTCGCCGAAAAAATGGTTTTAAAAGTAAAAAAAGAAAAAGAAAAGGCCACGCCCACCCAGTCACATTCCCTCCCCCACCAAGCCACGCCCGCAGAACCGGTAGTAACAAATTTTAGATTTCACCACTGAGGCTTCCCCATCGCACCCCAAGCACAGGGCGTTGTTACCTGCTTGGACATGGAGTCAATGAGTCGTACGTAGAGGTCTTGCTCGGTTCGAAGGCCTGGGAAAAAACAAAGTTTGGAGAGAGTTCAGAACAGCCTGTCTCAACTTTGGTGATTTGAAGAGAGGTGAGCTTCAGCTCCCAGAATTCCTCAGCCAGCCCTGCTAGGGAATTCTGGTAGTTGAAGTCCACCTCTCTTCTTCAAGTCGCTGAGGCTGAGAACCGCAGCACAGCAGCTCAAGACGACGACTCCTTGTGTTTTAAGCCTCTGCGGTGTTTAACCGTCTGCCTCCCCAGCCTGGGTCTACCCCAATGGGTTTCCAACTGGGCCGTTTGAAGACATGTCGACTTCAACTCCCAGAATTCCCCAGCCGGAATTCCAGGCTAGGGAATTCTGGGAGTTGACGTTCGCTCTCTGTAAAGTGGCCACGTTTGGGGAAAATGTTCTGAAAGGTTAAAAACCTCACTGAACATATATTATAACTTGGCATCCAATGGTGCAAATTGTGCATTTTTTAAAGAAGACGAGTGAGCTGTGAAAAGCAACTAAGATAACACATGCAAGGAATAACAGAGTTGGAAGGGACCTTGGAGGTCTTCTAGTCCAACCCCCTGCTCAAGGAGACCCTGAACCATTCCAGACAAGTGATTGTCCAACATCTTCTTAAAAATCTCCAGTATTGGAGCATCCACAACTTCAGGTGGCAAGCTGTTCCACTGGCTAATTGTTTCTCAATTGTCAGGAAATTCTTCCTTAGTTCTGGGTTGCTTCTCTTCTTGATTGGTTTCCATCCATTGCTTCTTGTCCTGCCTTCAGGTGCTTTGGAGAATAGCTCGACCCTCTTTTCTTTGGGGCAGCCCCTCAAATATTGGAAGACTGCTATCATGTCACCCCTAATACTTCTTTTAATTAAACTAGACATACCCAATTCCTGCAATCATTCTTCATATACCAAGGGAAGAGCCTTGGTAGCGCAGCAGACTAAAGTGCTGTTAAGTAGCACCAGCTGCCTGCAATTACCGCAAGTTCAAATCTCACCAGGCTCAAGGTTGACTCAGCTTTCCATCCTTCCGAGGTAGGTAAAATGAGGACCCGGATTGTGGGGGCAATAAGCTGACTTTGTATAAAAAAGAACACTTGGGGGGGCCGAAAGCCCTACTAAGCAGGTATATACAAAAGTATGAAGGCTATTGCTTAATGCATTGTAAGCTGCCCTGAGTCTCTGGAAAAGGGCGGTATATAAATTGAACCAATCAATCAATCAATCAATCAATCAATCAATCAATCAATAAATAAATAAATAAATAAATAAATATGTTTTAGCTTCCGTTCCCCTAATCATCTTTGTTGCTTTTCTGTGCACTCTTTCTCAAGGTCTGGATGGTTTCTTACAAATGCTTTCGGCACGTTTTACTTAAGTCCAGAGTTTGATTAAAAGAGTGCTGACCTCCAGCCCTGTAGCCACCAATTTGGGGTGTGTTGGGGTGGGGGGTTGTCCTTTCCTCAATGGCTTGCAAACATACCTTGCAAGCTTCTGAAGCCACCCTGAACCCTATCCTAACTATTCGGCTGCAGGTGGAGGGTCAAGATAAAATTTAATGAGCAAATGTATCTCAGCAGCTTCCGTCTTCTGAGTAGCCTTCAACAAAGGCAGCAGAGATTCACCAAAGCCCCAAATTTAAGCCTACAAACCTAAGGTTATAGGGTCCTTACCGTTACTGTACAGCAGCTGCAGCCGGTAGTGAATGCCGTTGTTGGTTTTCTCTCCGTTCTGCTCCTGTCAGGAGGAAAGGAGGAATGAAAAAAGGCGAAGAGCGGAGATCTTCCACCTGGTGTTCCTCAAAGACACGTTTAACCAGGAACAGCGGGGCAAGCGGGAGATGCTTTTCTTTGGAGGTGCAATCAACTGGAAGGGGAGTGGATGAACTGGGGTTGTCTCTTGTTTTCTGAGACTGGGGGAAATCCTTGATCTTCCTTATGCCAAGACGGGGAGTTTGGGAAAAGGAGAGGGCAGAGGTGTCTTCTTCTGAAAGTGCTTCGTGTAGAAATTAGCCTGGGGTGCAACCATCCTCCTCTTCCTCTTTTCTCCTTCTTCTCTTATCTTGACATCCTGTCCAGACTGACTCATTCCTGAGCCCTGCTCCCGCTGCAGTCTGTTGCTCATTCTCTCTCTTTTTTCTTTTTCTTTCTTTCTTTTTCTTTTCTTTCTCTCTCTTTTTCTTTATTTCTGTTTCTTTCCCTCCCTCCCCTTTTCTTTCTTTCTTTTTCTTTCTTTCCTTTCTTTTCTCTTTCCTTTCCTTTCTTTTCCTCTCTCTTTCCTTCTTTCTCTTTTCTTTCTTTCTTTCTTTTCTTTCTTTCTTTCCTTTCTTTTCCCTTTCCTTTTCTTTCTCTTTCCTTTCTTTTCCTCTCTTTCTCTCTTTCCTTTCCCCTCTCTTCTTTCCTTTCTTTCTTTCTTTCTTTTTCTTCTATCTCTTTCTTTTTTTCATTCTTGTTTTTTCTACTCTCTCTCTCTCTCTCTGTGTGTGCATGTAAAAGTTGAGATGGCACCCCCTCAAATATGCCCTCAGTGCCCTACAAACATCATCTTTATTAGATGAGGGGCTTTACCCAGAGATGATCCTTTCACTCAGTGATGGGATTCAGCCAGTTTGCACCACTTCGGGAGAACCAGTTGTTAACTTTCTGAGCAGTTTGGCAAACTGGTTGTTGGAAGAAATCAGTAGGGTAGAGAAGCAGTTGTTAAATTACTTGAATCCCACCACTGCTTTCACTGTATGGAAAACTAGATTTCTAGCATGGAGTTGAAGTATCATAGCTGATAGTTTTAAGTAGCCACTTATACTGTGCTAAGCAGGTAGCTTGAGAGAGTGAGTAGAGGAGGAGAAAAAGACCATTTTAATCAAAGGGATTTTATCGAGTTTTGTTTCTATTTCTGGACTTTCTGGACTGGAAAAGAAAATGAAACTTGGAGTTTGATGATTACGATGTTTTTGCTATTATAGGAATGGCTGGTAAAGTTGTGAAGTGTAAAGCAAAATGTTTAGTTTGTGGTGTTTTTTTGCATTTTACTGCACTGAAAAAGTCAGGCGTCATCTTTTTCTCTCTCACTTTCTCTTGCTGTTTTTTAATTTTTGGGTTTATTTGTATTTATATCTTGGAATGACACAATAAAATGTATTTAAAATGTTGACCTGGTGGCTTTGGGTAAAGGCTTAATGAAGAGGTATTTTCACTTCCTTTTTAAAAAAGATAGATATAGTTTATAATGCTATAAGTCATAATGATATCTTGCAGCAAAATTCCCTTTATGCTATTTTAGATTCTCGGGTGTTTCTGCTTGCCACTTATTCCTGGTTCTTGTCTTTATTTTATATGCTGTGTCTCCTGTGGCTTATCTCTTTTTTCCTTCCCTTGCCCCCCCCCCACTACAAATGTTCAATAACAAAATGAATGAATGAATGAATGAATGAAAAAGGCGCTCAGGGAGCCATCAAGGATATTTTCAATATTACTCCAGCAAGGGTTTAGCTCTGGTGGATTCTGATGGCTGCTGGGGGAAAAAAATCAGAATAACTGCAACTGGAAGGGTTTGAGGATATTCTATCCTGACTGTTTCCTGTGTGTGTCTGTGTGTGTTTGGGTTCTTGTGTTTGCGAGAACCGCGCATGAGTTTGGACCTTACTCTGTCCTTCTCCACAAAGTCGATGAAAGACGTCCTCTCGATCTCCACTGGCTGTCCGTGACGGTCGTACATGGCAAGCACGAAGTGGAAAAAGTTGGATTTCCTGAGGTTAGATGGGGGCTGTTTTTCAAAATGGGCCCGAGCCAGCCCAATACCACTGTGGGAGGGAGAGAAAGGAGGAAAAAAAGGTGTTTAAGCAGCTGCAACGCAAAACATCTGCAAGGGCTGAACTCAGCCTCCCTTTCTATGCCAAAAAAAATAGAATAACAGAGTAACAGAATAGCAGAAAACAGAATAGCAAAATAACAGAATAGTAAAATAATAGAATAGCAGAATAGCAGAATAACAGAGTAACAAATAACAGAATAGCAGAATAACAGAGTAACAAATAACAGAATAGCAGAATAATAGAGTAACGGAATAACAGAGTAATAGAATAGCAGAATAACAGAGTAACAAATAACAGAATAACAAAGTAAGAGAATAGCAGAATAACAGAGTAACAGAATAACAGAGTAATAGAATAGCAGAATAACAGAGTAACGGAATGACAGAGTAACGGAATGACAGAGTAACAGAATAGCAGAATAACAGAGTAACAAATAATAGAATAGCAGAATAACAGAGTAACGGAATAACAGAGTAATAGAATAGCAGAATAACAGAGTAACAAATAACAGAATAGCAGACAAATAGGGTCGGAAGGGATCTTGAAGGTCTTCCAGTCTATTTTTTTCCACAGATAATCTTTGACATACAACCATCATGGAGCCTGCCTACATTACCTAGTTAGGTCATGAAATGTCTGCAAGAAAACAACCAAGCTCAGAGAGCAGCAAGGACTCCACGACTCCAAAGGAGTTGCAAACTTGGAACTTTGAGAATTTCAATCCAGAACATCAAAAGAACATTGAGGTAGGCAGCTTGTCCCATTGCTCCTTTTTTCCTGTTTTATGGAGAGTGAGAGTTCCCAGATAGCCACTTACAGAACAAATCCAATTTTTCTTATTTACAAGTTCTTTGTATCCTCCGTCCAGGCGCAATTTCATCTACAGGCAGTCCTCACCTTACGACCACAATTGAACCCAGCATTTGTGTTGCTAAGCGACACAGTTGGTCAATGTGTTTTTTTACCCCCTTTTAGGACCTTTCCTGCCACAGTTGTTAAACAAATCCCTGTGGTTGTTAAGTTAGTAACATGATTGTTCAGTGAACACGGCTTCCCCGTTGACTTTGCACGTCAGAAGGTCACAAAACGGGATCACGTGATCCCAGGACAGTGTGACCGTGATCACATGACCATGGGGATGTTGCAACAGTCGTTAAGTGTGAAAAAATGGTCATAAGTCACTTTTTTCCAGTGCCACTGTAACTTTGAATGGTCACTAAGTTGTCACTAAATGAACTGTTTATTTTTAGGCCTGTTTGTCAAGCCTGGAACTGCAGATTTTCTGCAAAGAAAGCACATTTTGGTGATATAATAATCTCTGCCATAGTTGGGAAATGATTGCTGTGTGCATTACAATCCAGACAACAAATACTTTAAACTCCTGGGAATTATAATCAACACTTTAGACACACCTGGACTTGTACAGAAAGGAAAAAGCAGGAATTTCAACTGCTTTGGAACTTGGCAAAGGTAATATTAGGTATAAAGGAAATTTACTATGTTGGTTTCATTTATTTGGGGAATTAAAGTACAATACCGCTCTGCAAAACCCATCCATGAGAGGGCTGGAGGGGGAAAAAAATCATAAACGAAGGAGAAATTTTAGGAGATTAAAGGAAACCTGAGAGAGACCCAGCTGTAGGAAACAGCTGTCTGGAAACCCAAAACCCAACTGGGGCCTGGTACAGGTAGTCATCGACTTACGACCACAATTGAACCCATTGTTGGGTGAGTGAGATAGTTGTTCAGTTTGGTCCCATTTTATAACCTTTCTTGCCACAGTTATTAAGTGAATCACTGCAGCTGTTAAGTTAGTAACCTGTCGTTAAGTGAATCCAGCTTCCCTATTGCCTTTGCTTGTCAGAAGGTCATAAAAGGGGATCACGTGACACTGCAACCGTCATAAATATGAGTCAGCTGCCAAGCATCCGGATTTTGATCATGTGACCACGGGGGAATGCTGCAATGGTCGTAAGTGGTCATGTCATTTTTTTTCCGGTGGTCTTGTAACTTCAAATGATCACTAAATGAACACCTGTAAATTAAGGACTACCTGTAGTTATCTTTGAAAGACTAAATGTAACTTTAAAAAAATAATTAAATAAATAAATAAAATTTCAACCAGCCCAACTTGTGGAGAGGTTGATGCCCGTAAAAGACTTAAAACCCGAATATTGCCGCACAGAAACAGCCGCCAAAACAGATGAAGAAAATGAAGATGATAAAATTGTTCTGGGACTTGAGAATTCAGACAGACAAGCTCCTGCTACAAAAGGCTCCAGACTTAACAACTGTTGGTAAGAGAGACCAAAAAAAAAGAGCCTGGGTAACGGACATGACAGTAGCCGGAGACAGCAGGAGAGAAGAGAAAGAAATGGAGAAAATCTCAGAATACGAGGACCTGCAAATAGAAGTAGAACGACTGTGGCAAAAGCAAGCAAAGATGGTACCAGTATTAATAGGTGCCTTCGGAACTGGAGCACCCCTTGAACACCATCGGCATTGACAAATTCACTATCGGTCAATTGCAAAAGGCATCTTGACTTGGAAGAGCTGAGATCCTGTGATGATGATACCTTTCATTAACTCAAACAAGAATGTCTGCCTATCCCAGGTCCTTGGAAAGGACTCCATTGGTGGATAAAAATGCCAAATCCAGTCCAAACATCTGGCTGACTGTATGACCAACCATTAAAAATGGAAGTGCATATTATTCAGATTATTAAGAGAGGGAGGGAGGGAGGGAGGAAGGAAGGACAAGGAGATAGATGGGAGGGATGGAGGGTATGAGGAAAACAGAGGGAGGGATGGAGGGAATGAAGGAATGAGATAGATGGGAGGAATGGAGGGAAGGAGAAAAAGAGGGAAGGAAGGAAGGAGGACAAGAAGAGATAGATGGGAAGGATGGAGGGTATGAGGAAAACAGAGGGAGGGAAGGGCAAGAAGAGATAGATGGGAGGGATGGAGGGTATGAGGAAAACAGAGGGAGGGAAGGGCAAGAAGAGATAGATGGGAGGGATGGAGGGTATGAGGAAAAGAGAGGGAGGGATGGATAGAAGGAAGGAAGGAGATAGATGGGAGGGATGGAGGGAAGGAGAAAAAGAGGGAAGGAAGGAGAAGGAAGGGCAAGAGGAGATAGATGGAAGGGATGGAATGTAGGAAAAGGAGAGGGATGGACGGATGGAGTGTAGGAGAAGAAGAGAGGGATGGATGGGTGGATGGAAAGAAGGAAGGAAGGAAGGAGATAGATGGGAAGGATGGAGGGAAGGAGAAAAAGAGAGGAATGGAAGGAAGGATGTCTTATTTTTTGGTCCAAAGCAAGCGACAGAGGTAGCAGCAATAAGAAAATGTATTCAAATTAAGTCAATCAGTTAAAAGGGAGATGATTAATCAACCAGGAATTTTTCCACCGGCCCTCATTTTTATGTATTAAGGTATTCTGCACCGGCGCATGAGCCTTGATACGAACTGAAAACTCTCTTTTCGTCTTTTTTTTTTTTTTAACTATCCAAACTTCCAGATCTGCATCTCAGAATAACAGAATGACAGAATAACAACAGAATAGCAATGACAGAGTTGGAAGGGGCCTTGGAGGTCCTCTAGTCCACCCCCCCTCCCCATTCAAGCAGTACAAATTTCAAACAAATGGTTGTTGTTAATTGTTATTTAAACGTATCAGTTGCGTTGTACAATTTGCCAGAACACACAGTTGTAGCTGATTGATGGGAGAGAGCTGGCTCCTACATGAGGCAACCTGCGCCGTGATTGGTTGCTGTGGGCAAAAGGGGGTGTTTCCTTCTTTCCCGCCTTTTTCTTCTGTGAGCTTGGTGATTTACCACATGAGGATGTTCCTGTGTGGATTTTACCTCATGAGGCTCCTATCTTGACTGATATAAATATAAATGTTAAATATATTTATTTATATAAAACTACAAGTTCAGGTCATCCTCTATTACTTCATTGGGACAGTTGCTGCGCAATTCCTGGACAGTTGTTCGGTCTCCTTTTGAAAAACTCCAGTGATGGAGCACCCACAACTTCTGGTGGCAGGCTGTTCCACTGGTTAAATGTTCTCACTGTCAGGAAATTCCTCCTTAATTCCAGGTTGTTTCTCTCCTTGATTAGTTTCCATCTGTTGCTTCTTGTCCTGCCTTCAGGGGCTTTGGAGAATAATTTGATCCCCTCTTTTTGTGGCAACCCCTCAAATATTGGAAGATTGTTATCATGTCATCCCTAATCCTTCTTTTCTGAACATTTACAGAATACAGAATGACAGAGTTGGAAGAGACCTGGCTTGAAGGTCTTCTAGTCCAACCCTGAGGTCAAGCAAGAGACTCTATACCATTCCAGATTGTCCATTGCCTTTTAAAATCCTCCAGTAATGGAGCACCCACAACTTCTGGTGGCAAGGAGTTCCACTGATTAATTGTTCTGTGAGGAAATTTCTCTTCAATTCCAGGTTGCTTCTCTCCTTGATTAATTTCCATCCGTTGCTTCTTGTTCTGCCTTGGAGAATAGGTGGACCCCCTCTTCTTTGGGGCAGCCCCTCAAACAATGGAAGATTGCTATCATGTCACCCTGATAGTTCTTCTTTTCATTAAACTAGAATTAAACCCAATTCCTGCAACTGTTTTTTGTTATGTTTTAGCCTCCAGCCCCCTAATCATCTTTCTTGCTCTTCTCTGCACTTTTTCTAAACATCTTCTTTATATTATGGTGACCAAAACTTACAGGTCCAATTGTGGACCTGTAAGTCCTCAACTTACAGCAGCTCATTTAATGACCAAAGTTACAACGGCACGGAAAAAAGTGACTTTTAGGACCATTTTCCAAACGTACAACCATTGCAGCGTCCCCCGTGGTCACGTGATCAAAATTCAGACGCTTGGCAAGCGACTCATATTTACGACGGTCGCAGTGTCCCTGGGGGTGTCACGTGATCTATTTTTGTGACCTTCTGACAAGCAAAGTCAATGGGAAAACCAGAT